TTTCTTTCAGTTTATTCTGTTTTTATTTATATTTTGCATTTGGCCAGGTCAGATTTTAGTGCCTTTTTTCCTCTATAGCTTGAGAAATAAAGTTTATGTTAGATTTAGGATTTAGAGTATGTCAAATACATCAGATAGGAAGTAATTTATACTTTATTTTTTATAAAAACTTCAGTAATTCCTTTGGAACTATCTTTCTGAACAAATAGTGTATTGTCTACAGAATACCAAGTAATCTATATCAGTAAAATATTGATAATAATATTAACAACAACAATAATAATATTAATGTATGGTTACGGATTTTGTCTGGCTCGGGCAATTGTTGGAATACTGCTGACGTAGCCAGTTGTGTTGTTAGGGCTAGGGCCCACAGACCCTTCAAACCCGTTGTACAGACTGGGTCACAAACCCTTTACATGCCAGGCTGGGTCACCAGAACCCTCACACACAGGTCCACGAGCTAGGTAATTGGGAAAGATCCTAGGAGCTGTTGGCAAACGACACGAGCTCAATCCTCAGCTTCCTCAGCAGCAGCAGCAGCTTACAGCAGCCTCCAGCAGCAGTGGTGGTGGCCTCACTGGAGGGTCCTGGGGGCACTGGCAGCAGAAACAACAGCCTCCAGCAGCAGTAGCAGCCTCCCTATGGCCCCCCCGGGGCATCCTTGGGGTTGGGGAAGGGCACTGTGGATCAGAGCCACTCATCCTTTATACTTAAGTCTCACAACTCAGGATGCCTGGGTGCGAGTCAGACAACCTAGGAACACCTAGGTGCCCATGCACAATTACATTAGACATTAACCAACGAACACCTAGGCACACGTGCATATTTACAACAAATGCCTGGCAAGACTCTGAACCCCCAAGGGACCCTGACCATTTATCTGTATTTTCTCTACAATTAATCTTAGTGATTATGTTCTACAATAATCAAGCAAAGGAAGCTTTTACAGTCTTTAGCTCTCTATATAGTGAATAAAGTCAGTGTTTTAGGTCAAGTTTTCTAGAAGCAGAACCTGAGACGTGGGATTTGGACGTGGGATAAGGCTCTGCTTCTGGTTTAATTATTTATTGAGGGAGTGCTTTTTTAGAGCCTGAGACATGGGATTTGGATGTTAGTTACTTATTGAGGGAAGTGAGGGAAGCAGGGTAAGGATAGGGATAGAGCTGAGGAAGGATACGGGCTCAGGTCAAGTCTGGCCTTGGCTTGAGCCTTTGGGAGAAGGGTCTGGAGCACGATTCACAGGCAGAGTTGTCTCCCCTCCAGGCAAAGAGACCTGCCTTTTGTGGCTCCGTATCAGGCAGCCATTGGTCGTGGGCTGCTGTGGAGGGGTGGGGGCTGAGAGAGAGGACATGTAGCCTCCCAATTCAGCTGGCTCCCATCAGCAGTTGTCCTGGAAAGGGAGGCAGCTGTGAGCTCTTAGCAGCCAGCACTTACATCAGCGTGTGGAGGGGTGGGGGCTGAGAGAGAGGACATGTAGCCTCCCAATTCAGCTGGCTCCCATCAGCAATTCTCCTGGAAAGGGAGGCAGCTGTGAGCTCTTAGCAGCCAGCACTTACATCAGCGTGGGGGTGACTCTCTGGCTCCATAAAAACGTTCTGGTGGGCACCGATAGGATCCACTAATAATTTGAATCAGATTCAAATTAAAATTGTTCTGGATGCAGAATCTTCTACTTGGTACAACTTACAATTACATCTTATTAATAGATTAAATTACATCTTATACATAGTAGATATTCAGATTGTTGAATTAATATATAGTTTATTATCAAGACTCCCAACTTCCCAGTAATACACTGTGATATTGGTTGAACTTAAGGAACAGCATAGTATATCAGATCATCTCACAGCACTCTCCAAGTTCTTCCCAGATAGAAAGTTAAGGTTAGAAGGATGTGCATTTCTTTAACTGGTCAGTAGGGATTAGGTCTTTTACCCTGTTGTCTTATTTGAAGCCCATTCCAGCAATGTGGAACATGGGTGATGTCTACTTTAGCATCCCACAGCAGCAATGCATTAAGCTAAATGGTCGCTTAAGAACTTGAGAGAGTTTGTGCTTCTAAGGGAATTTAACGTTCTCCAAAGGATATTGTTCAACCCATTACAGCAGGAAATTTCCCTTAGGGTTTCCCACGGGTTCCCCAAATGCACTGGTTGGTGTATCTTTTACTTGGCTCTGGATTCAACAGAATGACCCATGTGGAGTTTTAGTCACCCCATGCATATTTTGACTTTCCATTTGGCTCTTTGACAGGGATGCAGGACTTCAATTACCTCAGCAGCAACTGTTTTGAGATCACCGTGGAGCTTAGCTGTGAAAAGTTCCCACCTGAAGAGACTCTGAAGCGCTACTGGGAGGATAACAAAAACTCCCTGATTAGCTACCTCGAGCAGGTAA